TGTGACTTTGAGCCTCTTAACCTTACCTAATAAGTGTAAGACGATAACTCTTAGCACCACTACTTCCTAGGGGTGGGAAAGATTAAATAAAATGCCCTCGGTATGTGCATTATCAAGTGACAAGCCATATGAAAATAAAATGCTAGCCATTTTATCCCATCTTAAAAAAAGAAGTCTCTTACTTTTCCTGCCCAAAAAAGCTTAGTTTCTTTCTCTTTACAAATCTCCTTGAAAGAAACACTTGTGTCAACCCGATCTAGTACCTCTACCCCAGCTACAGTGCTGCACACTCAGTTCTTGGACATCATCTGACTCCATCTCTAGGCACTATCTGTCCCAGCTGACCACTTTGCTCTCAGGACACATCCCATTTAGCCAGCATTTGCCAGCTGAGCATGGCCAGTAGCAAGGTGTAGATAATCAGGGAGAGCATTCCCCATGGAGAGAATCATGAAAATCTCTCATCTGTACCATGTGCTGGAGATCCTAAATGATTTGTAATAAAATGCTCCTCTTGCAGGTGTGAGAGCTCTCTTACCACACCCTGCCCTATGTGTTACACCACTGGTTGGGTCCTCCCCACCTCCATAACCCCAAGCATTGCCACATCTCAGAAGTCAGTCCTATACTTCTTTTCTTGTGATCACATTTAATGATATTATTGTAAAAAACCACTTGTATACTGATGACAAATTCAATGTGGGGTTTGTCCTCCAAAAGTGTTAGTAATCTTTCTCCCACCTCAGAGCCTTTGCACTTGCTGCTCCAACCACCTGGAATGCTGTTTTCCCCAGTTACTGCATGACTGGTTCTGCCATATCCCTAAACTTTTGCTCAAGTAGATGCTTGCTTTCCAGGTGAAACCTTTCAAAGCCCTCAGCACTCCATAGCTTCCTGCTCATCACTTTCCCTGTTCTATTTTTCTTTACCTCTCATGTATGTTTTACAAGTTTCTTTGTCTTTTTCTGTCTCACAAAAATGTATCTTGGCGAAAGCAGAGAATATTGTTTTTGCTCATTACTATTATTAGAACTACTTGCAGGTTTTAGAAAAAATTAATCCTTATTTTCACAACCTGGAAATAATTTTCAATAAGTAGTGTTGTGTGAAAAAAAACTTGAACAGATGTTTTAATTGAACAGATGTTTGATAAATAGGTGAAAAGAATGAATCTTATTCAAATATTTCATTTTACTATGCATCTTACTGATCTTTTTTGCAGCACAGACTGTGAGATGTATGAATTACGAGTCTGAGGCAATCCCACATATAACTATGTTCAAAGCTAGAAAATTTTAGTTATTTATCAAATATCTTGATGTTTGGGGGTTTTATAAGCATTGCTATGCTGACCAGTGGAGCCCTTTGGAAGATGAGAACTTTCCCCGAAATCTACCAGAAACGTTGATAACCATCCTGAGCTAATTACATATTAATGATGTTTTCAACAATGTTTATTATGGAAGATACAGAGCTGGAATATCTCACCCTTTGGGAGCAGCGCAGCAGGAGTCCAATAATTTCTCCTGGAAAATTTAAAGTAGGGCTGAAATACACCTGACTAGATACTTTGCCACTTTTGATTTATGTGCTTAAAGAGCCGTGATCTATTTACAAATATCTGGTAAATAGTTTTAGTGCTCATTAGAGTCACCAAGTTATGCTTGATCTGCAAAGCTTCATCTGCCATTCAGCACCCTCTGTCTGGTACAAGTCCAGCTCACCAGCCTCCTAACACTTCTCCCCTGCTTGCCATGTAATAAAAGAGTAAATGCTTTCTATCTCTTAACTACATTTTAAACGGTACTTTTCAAGCTTGCTTAATCTCTTACTGGAAACTTCTCAACTGTCTGTCCAAAGACAGTCCAAATACTATTTCTTCTTTCCATCTCGGAAGGAATTCTTTCCACTTGCTATAAATCTATCCACTGAAACCACAGCATCAGGTTTCTTCTTTTTATACCACTTAGCTTTTTTTTTCCCTTGTACATTGATTGTTTGTATACACATTTTCTACCCCAGGTCAAAGTTCCTTTGGGGAAAGGTCACTGGTCTCCGCTCCTGAATCTTCATGCTTAGGGTTTTATATATCATAACATATACAGGGATGGTTATTGTACTAACGAATGCTTGATAGAAAACACATCATTAGCTGAGTTCCCAAGATCTCAGCAATTTGTTTGAGTTCTTTGGCACGCAGAGCGCTGCACTGCTATCCATATGCGATCATATATCATCTTTTCTTTTTTTCTATGCAATTGATCTCTCAAATAAAGGACATTACTATGCAAGTGTCATTCTTCTTCCCCATTCTTTTATAGTTCCCTAGAGATTATGCTAGGAGAATATTGGATTTTCTAAATCTTTTGCTTTCAAATCACCGGGTCTTGATATCTAGCTCAAGAAAATATTCTGACTATTTTGTTTATTCTGCAGAAATCATCTCATTTTTCCCTAACTCTCAAGCAACGAAAGGTTAGGGCAAAAGAATTAACTTTATCTCCTGCTTTGATGACCTTGATCTGGCAAGATTTGAAAGAGGGTGACTTAAGAGAAATTTAACACCTAAGAGACTGGAATAGCTCAACAGGTACAAATAGTAGCTTAAATAAAATACAGTGGGGCCCAAGAAGGATGGGGATACCAGGCCATCTACAGTAAGCAAATTCTGCCCAGGCCCATCTGATGTGTTATCTCTGGAGCGACGTGGGTCCATTGTGATCACAAATCCTGATCTTAAACAATGATATATCAGGATCTTCACAACAAATTTCCATGACTTTGCTTTTGTATTTTTTGGTACTTGAATTGAAACTCAGGACCTTGCACTTGCCAGGCAGGCCCTAGACCACCGAGCTATATTTGCAACCATTTCCTTGACTCCAAATACACCAGATACTTGTCTGATTTTGTGTAATACTGAAGCACAAACAAAACATAGGTGCATGCTACATTCACCTGTGGCCACTGGACTGCTAATACTGAATTAAGTGAACAGGGGGACTTTAATGTGCATTCATTTCTACAGTCTTGAATACAATCATAACTAATTTTCACATTCTGAAATGATTGAACTGAGTGAAGCCTCTTTGAAAAGGTTCTGAAAGATACAAAAAAACCCAGCTTGAAGAAAATGAAGATTACTTGTCTCCATCTCCCCACTCTATGACTAATGAGAAGTCCCTAATTTTGGCTGAAACAACTATTCCCCAAGAACCAAGTCAAAAGTTAGAAGCTTAGCTGGCAAATTCTTCTATTTTGCACTGTACAATGACTTTTCCTGAGATGCTAACCAGAGGCTAAAGTGCCTAATCCTTTTAATTGGAAGAAATCTTCTAGGATGGCTCAGTGCAGTCCACAGAATGGCACAGCAAATGCTGCTGCCTTGGGATGCACAGTCTTCAGCACTGTGTCACAGTCAGTAAAACAGTTAAAGACCCTTGCTTCGTTTACTCCTGTCATGGTTTATGTCGGTGGGCCCCAGGCCTCGTGCGTTTGCATTATGCATTTGTGATTGGCTCATTGTCTAGGGCTTGGATTGATGGTGTCAGTGCTACACCTACCTAGGGATGGAGCCAGAATGTGACGTAATGGCTGGAAGAAGGTGTGTCTCTCTCTGTCTTGCTGGTTTCTGCCTTGCTGTTTGCAGCCATCATGAACTGCGGCCCCACCATGCCACCTGCCTTGGAGCCAACTGAGTATGGACTGAAACCTCCAAGAACTGTAAGAAATAAATCTTTCCTTTCCCAACTTTGGGCATCAGGTATTTTGTCTCAGCGACGAGTAAAAATTAACTAAGACAACTCCTGAGTGATCACTAGTTGTGTAACATTGTGCACTCCATCTTTCTGTAACTCAGACTTTGTATCTTGAATAACATAATTGATTAATGTCATCAGGGACCTTTCAGCCAGAAAGACACTAAAAAGAGACAGAAAAATCTCAAAAATTATGTAGCACTGCAACCTATTACAATGTGGTGAGTCTCCAGAGTAAGTCTCCTGGCTCTATCATAACCATCTCTGTCTCTGTCTCCCCTCCCCCAAAGGAAGCACTTCCTTCCATAATTCAGAATGTTATAACCATTTGAGCATTAAAGAGAAATGATAGACAAAATTAGCATCTTAAAAAATAAACTACACAATCACTGAACATGAGATTTTCTTAAAATTGGAACAATGAGATATGATGACAGCTGTCATAAGAGAGGAAATTGCAGGAGTTTGAAAGGATTTGGGGTAACCCTGCCTCCCCATTTAGATTGGCTTCTCCACATATCACAGTAACACTGAAAAACTAAAAGGGCCTTTGTGATCTGCTGTGCACATTAGGAGAGTGTCATTAAGCCCCAAATTAAAAGCTTCCTGCACAGCGATCTAAAGCCTGTATCAGGCTCCAAGTCACTTTTTTTCTCACATTTGCAAAACACTTTTCAATTTACAAGTCCTTCTCCATGTATACTGTCATCTGTTGTCTAAATCAGTCCTACATGTAGAGCCTATATATGATCATAAAATCTCTGTCTGAAGAATTCAGACTTACCACTCGGAACCTGGATACAAAGAAATAATCACTGTTTGTTTGCCATTGGAAAGTTGAGGGAATTGCTTCATTTTCTCAGTTTTTCCAATTAAAGAATGGCCTGCTGGGTGGTACAGCAGAAAGAGAGAGAAAGGGGAGTCAATCTCATCTTGTCCTTAACCTGATGGGCAAATATGAACAAATCATCTTAACCTTACTTTATTGAATCACCAAATGGAGAATATTGTAGGTAGTTCAATGAACCTTATCAGCTAAAAAACACTGGTCCAAAATCTACTAATCCTGAGCACTAGGGAACAATAAAGGACTCTCACATTGGCCTCTAAAACTATGAGCCTAGATCAAATGTGTAAATCCTTGCTGGAGGTGACCAGAAACCCAACCTAGATACAGAAGCAACCATGTCCTAGAGTGATACCTCGTTCCTAGAAAATTAACAACGAGTGCCTTGTTCTTACCTGAGTAGGCTACTGCTGGTCCACAAGGGTCTTCCTTCTCTTCAGAACAAAGGGAGTTAAACCATAGATAGTGGCCAGTGGAGGTGTGGTTGGCTCAGAGGAAGCCAAATAGGAGAAGGCTGGTCCTGTTACCACACTCAAAGCCTCACCTTACCGAGTGGGCTGAACAGCTACGTGTTTACTCTCAAACAAAGCTTCAGATAAAAGGACTGAAAATGTTTATAGGGTGGAACTCAACCTGTCAGAGGCAAGGAATTGGGTTTGTGGGTGGGGACTTTCTCGTCCTGTGATGACACACCTCTGCAATGTCCTCTCTCTCAAGAAGCTCTGGATTTTCCTGTCAAGTTTCTCCTTGATTGAATCCTGATCTGTGTGAGCAGGAGTAACCTTCTATGTATGCTCCATGATGTCTGTATGCTTCCAAGAAGCTACAATGAAACTCACTCCCAAAGCCTACGGCTCCTACTAATAATATTCTTTGTGATGACTTGACTAGTTGGATTGTGATGGTGTTAAACAACACCACTACTTTTGCATCAGCAATGGAAAAGGCACATAGAGCATATGTGTCTGTAAGAACAAACACACATACACATGAGACATCTTTTCAGTATTTCCTCTACAGTGCCTTTCATGTGACATTTTTTCTATGTAAGTGCATGTCCTCTTCACTTGACTGAGAGTCCCTTGAGGGCAGTGGACACATTCTGTTCTCCCACATATATACCACAATATCTGGAACATAGTAAGTACTAAATCAACACATATTGAATGAATAAAAATCAATTAGTATTTATTTAATGAACTGTGATCTGTCATTTAATGGGTTTCAGGTTATTGGTTTATGAATATTTTACCTTTCTAAATTTCTTTTTGTTCTTGTATTTCATCTTGGTTTTTTTGCTTTGTTTTGTTTTTGCCCATCTGTAAATGGAGGGTATCATTTTTTTCTTCAGATACATGGATAGAATTTGAAAGAAAGAAAGCAGGTGAGAATGAGCTGAGGATAAGACCTGACACCACAACCATGATAAAAACAAGACTTGAGAATATGTTTTGAACTCTATGTGTTCTACACAGAATTGATACAAAATCAGGTATTAATTGTGTTAAGTAGGTGGGTCCCTGGAAGAAAATATGGAACAGAAAATAAAGTAGTAAATGTTTATAGCTGAATTTTTACTTTCCATTTTCAATTTTGCATTGCATTCAATAGGCTCCGGCCAAGTCAGATTTTATTCATTTGCTAGCTGGGGAAACCAAGGTTCACCAAGGACTTCCTGACTGGATTGCATTCTTTTATAAAGAAATATAACTGACACTGATGTGTCAGAATAATGGATTATACAGGCATACTGAGACATATAAAGGCCTGAGGAGACTCCATAGAAACTCAGATGGCAGATCCTTGCATCTCATCTAAGGCCATTCTAGACAGACCCCCTTCAGTAAACAGGCTTTTTAATGTTTTCACAATGGTAAGGACATAAGGAATATATGCTTGCATTCCACAATTATGGTGTGTGTCTGGGTGCCCCCTCAAAGCTTCATGCAGTAATGGAGACAGCTGAATCTAGTGTTTGTGATTGGTCTATTGCCTAGCACTGGGATTGGTTTTATGAGTGCTTCACCTGCTGGCAAGGTAAGGGGAAGGTAGCTGGCCTACAATATAAGGGAGAGAAGGAGGTGTGCTTTTCATTTTTGCCCTTTTGCTCTTGTCCCTTGCAGCTGCCCTTTAGCCAAGCCACCCTGTTATGTGGCCAGCTGAGTATGAATTGAAATTTCCAAAAACTGTAAGCTAAATAAACCCTTCCGTCCCTCATTTTGGGCTTCAGGTATTTTGTCTTAGCAATAAGAGAAAAGTTACCGAGATATACACATAGTTTGCTAAGCAACTACCTGGGCTGTTCTTCAAGCACACAAGGACAGAAAAACAAACTAGAAAAACAACTCTGGCATAGAGTTCAAGAAAATGGAATGAGTGCATAAACTAAGATCGCAGCATTTAGTAAAGGATGAGCTCCGTAGGTAGGATGACAGCAGGGTCTGTGGCGACCCAGAGGAGGGATCAGCTTGAGGGAGGCTTCCTGGGAGACAGCACTGAGCCTGGGCTGATAAGCAGAGCTAGGATTTCGACAGATGTGGATTGTAGACTTGGATATAAATGTTATCTATGAGGTGGACTGAGCCAGTCGCCCTGACTACCTGATTCACAGCCCCTCTTCCACCAATATAGACTCAAAGCTGTAAAGAGAGTTTCTTGGAACTGGTATCCAGGTCACAACATTCAGACACCACATGACTGCTGGGCAATTAGGAGTAATTGCGAGAGAAATACTGTCCCCACTCAGCTCCAAGTGTTTTTATGATAGCTCAGGGTCAGGAGTGGGGGGATGAGCAGGCAGGGGCCAGAGAGGTGCTCAATTCCCAGCCTGGTCACTTAACTCTGAGACCAGTTGATGCACTGCTGCTTGAACTATGTTATTTTAAAGAACAAGAGACTCTAAAAAGGCATCGCTGGTTCACATGGCAGCTCTCTGTGAGTGCCTTTCTGACTCATGCTGAGCTCCCAAAGCACTCCAGCTTGCAGAAACTGGGGCAGCAGACACAGTACCTCTAGCAGGAGTGAAAGCAGCACAAAGAACACCACAGGGAGCTCCTGGCACCTGTCCTGGTCTGTCACTCACTGGTCTTAAGGAAAAGTAGCTTAGTTTGGAACTTGAAACTCAGTTGCTTCTTCTGTACAATGGGAATTGTAATATATAGATAACGTCCACTTTCCTGGCTGTTGAAAAGTCAAATGAGATCCTGGAGGTGGTAAGAGCTCTGCAAATTCTAAGCATTGACATGAACATGAAGCACTCTCTCTACTGAATGTGAGACCACGCGTGGGAATTCAGCTCACGTCTCCCATTTCCAGTCATAACAAAGAAAATGCACAGATCTCCTGACGGATGATACATCTAACCACCAAGGAGCAGCCAATCACAGAACAATGTTACTAGGTAGACACACAGCAATAATTCTTTTCTTTTTGGTGTCTTGTCTCCTTTCTCTCTTCTATGAAAGCTTTTTAAAAATATCCTCTTTTTTTTTTATCTCCTTCAATCCTAGCATCAGTGAAGAACAAGGTAATCATTATTTGGGTTCTGAACTCCTGGTTGATTAGCTCTTTCCTCCTGCCACTACTCACATATGGTCAAAACATATGCCAGAGATCACGCAGGTATCCCTCTCTCTGAACTCAGCAGGACTGTTCTCTTACTCCTTGTGTCACCAGACAGACAGGAGGAAACACAAATGGCATGAACACTTGCGACCAGATATGAACCAGACCCACCTTATACTCAGGTCTTTCTCCTCCAACTGGATCATACCGAGAATCTCCCTAGAAATGCATCACCAAGGGTTCCTAGGTCCTGTCCACTAGAATCTCTCATCTCAGCTCCCAAGCTATGCCTTTATTTCCCACCCATGATTCTTTGGGGAAATAGGAGTTCAGAGATGAATGGATAAGAGCAACAAGCTCTGAAGCAAGAAAGAACATGCCAGCAGGTAACTGAAAAATTTAAGCAGTATAAATGCTTCTCCTGAGCTTCAACAGCACACACTTTATTCACTAGAGTTGCACTCCAGCATAATTATCCGACTGGCACCTTATACATTTAGCTACTCTCTGTAAAGGTAGAGGCCCTACACAACCTTTTTTAGGATCTAGAACAATACAATGCTAGGAATATTTACTCAAAAGGGAATGAATGGATGGATGAATGAATAAGCAAAGAATATCTGAACAACTCTGTTTTCTTTCACAGCCCAATGAAACTTTGCATCTAGAGAGGTAACAGGTTGCAAAGAGAGAAATAGCAATCTCTCCCCCCCCTGCCCCCCCCCCGCCTCCCAGATTTTAGCAAGGGACTAAATTCAGCCCAAAGCATCTTTCTTCCTCTTTCTATTTACTCTGGACAATCTGTCCCTTATCAGATGAGCTCAAGGCTGGTTGGAAATCTGCATATTTTATTTGAAAATATCTGCTTCTTCCAGTTTTGTTTTGCTGCACAGACATTTGTCTGCTTTGCTGTATGTTGTATATCAGATAGGACTCAGACAAACTGCTTTGGCTCTCTGAATTGTTTTGTTTTCTCCACTCCATGATCATTTATCTCATTTCCCTTTCTGCATCTCACTCTTATTCATGAGTTCCAATTTAACTCACAATTAAAGGGAATAATTCTGTTGTTACCCAGCTTAACCAAGAGCTAGAAAAAGCATGACCATGGAAGTTGGAAGTCTGCCATCTTGGTTCCCATTCTACCACCAATGGCCAGTGCAGTCTTCAGCAAATCACTTGTACTATCTTGGCCTTTGTTTATCCTTTGCAAAATAAGGTGACTCCCAGAGTCTAGGTGTATTGTCCTGAGCTATCTGGGCACCAAGTTGTAGTAATGGTTGTATAATTTCTCACATTGTGTATAGATGGTTAAGAAGTATTATTTTTGTCTTTGTTTAAGAAAATGGTATGGTATCAGTAATGCCAGAGAGGGTTCTTCTCATTCTGCATCCCAGATCTATCCTACTCCATGACCTTTCCCCATCTAAAATGGATGTATACATGCAAACTGTGTGGGTGCCCAGAGCACCCATATCAGGGTCACACTTGATTGCTCTGTGCCATGATCTTGGACTTCTTAATAATTTTGAACTAGAAGCCTGCATTTTCACTTTGTACTGGGCCTCAGTAACCATATATGGTAACAGGTCTACTACTACATGTAGACATTTATTCCTCCAGAGTAAAATTGAACTAAGAAGGACTAGGAAGAAATAAACAGTGATGTGGCTTTGCCAGTCATTATTGGCAGAGAAGGGTTTTATACAGCCTAGAGCCTTGCTTTGGAATGCCCTTCCTGACAAATATAAATGCTAAGAAAATACACAGTAACAGAATGCATGCCACAGGTTCCAGCTCTATCACCCTTCCCTGTCTGAGGATAGATAGAGGGTCTGAGTCATGCCTGGGCTGTGGCTCGCCATTCCTGCTAAGCACCTGGGCTCCTCCCTGCTGCTAGGGCTCAGAAAGAAATGTGAGTTATCCCTGAGAAAATGTCACACTCCAAGTGACACAGCTGAAAAGGATCTTAGAGCAGTCCCCAGACAGACATCACAGCTCATCTTTTTTT